GTAATCTACAGCCTAGTTTTCCAATTATTATTAACCACCAATTCAAAATATAAGATATGTTAGGGTACTTCAATCTAATTAGCTGCCATTCAACAACTTTAAGGACAGATTTATATTAGAGGACTTAAATTATTATCAGGTAATGACTATAAATGATATTTCCTTTCACTTTGTATACTTTTCTAAACATCAATTAATCTTAATAAGTAACATTTCATAAGCAAAACCATTAAAACAAACAATATTTGTTTATCTACAGTATGAATATATATATATATTAGTCTACAGAATGCTACTTTGACTTCATGGGTTTTTACAAATATTCATAACCAAGTCATGAAGTTCTCATTAAACAACAGAAAAAATGTTCTAAGAGAAACATCTCCACAATGTGCAAAGGTGATAAAAAATATTTTCTTCAAAAGTCCCTTATATTAATAGATTTTAATACTGCTGGACCTCTCAGAGCTTTATCTGACCACCCCTTAATAAGCAACAATCTACAGAGCCAGCCATTCACAAAACAAGCCCTGGGAATCCGGAAGTAGAGAAGATATCTGGATCAACTATCCTAAGATTGAACCTATAAAAACCTAGGAATTTTATAAATATTCCACTCTACAGTCCCTCATCAGAAATTTCTGACAAATGATATAAACAAACAATAATCAGGGAGCTCTAAATTCTCAACCACTTATTCTTTGAAACATACATATTAAAATGTCTATAGCAGCCGTCTCTTGGTCGGCGAGGAAACTGACACTCCGGTTCAAGTAGATAATCAAGGCATCATGGCCGCCCTTAGACCCCTTGTGAAACCCAAGATCGTCAAAAAGAGAACCAAGAAGTTCATCCGGCACCAGTCAGACCGATATGTCAAAATTAAGCGTAACTGGCGGAAACCCAGAGGTATTGACAACAGGGTTCGTAGAAGGTTCAAGGGCCAGATCTTAATGCCTAACATTGGTTATGGGAGCAATAAGAAGACAAAGCACATGCTGCCCAGTGGCTTCCGGAAGTTCCTGGTCCACAACGTCAAGGAGCTGGAAGTGCTGCTGATGTGCAACAAATCTTACTGTGCTGAGATCGCTCACAATGTTTCCTCCAAGAACCGCAAAGCCATCGTGGAAAGAGCTGCCCAGCTGGCCATCAGAGTCACCAACCCCAATGCCAGGCTGCGCAGTGAAGAAAATGAATAGACAGCTTATGTGCACGTTTTGTGTTTAAATAAAACTGCCATCTTCCTTAAAATAAATAAATAAATAAATAAATAAAATGTCTATAAATAGCTGTATGTCTAAAATTAAAGTCTAGGAAATCTCTCATACTTCCAAAAACAATTTCTGAATGACTGAAATACAGCAAACTCATTGCCACAAGTGGCTGAAATGTATCTTATCTACATGTAAAACATCACAAAGGCCAAAACTCTTTCATTAAAAACCTATTTAAATATTTACCTAAAAGTTATGCAAATAATAAAACTATTTGCCCATCTGCTCAAAAAAATTGTACATAAACCTGGCAACATTTTATCCAGATAAAAAGTATTTCTACACAAGAAGCTGATGCCCACAAAAGAATCATAACTTGCCAAAAGTCATAAATATCTAATTCTAGGAATTAGCTATAAAGACTCAAATTCTCGGGCCAGGCGCAGTGGCTCACGCCTGTAATCCCAGCACTTTGGGAGGCCAAGGCAAGTGGATCACGAGGTCAAGAGATCGAGACCATCCTGGTCAACATGGTGAAACCCCGTCTCTACTAAAAATACAAAAAAAATTAGCTGGGCTTGGTGGTGCATGCCTGTAATCCCAGCTACTCGGGAGGCTGAGGCAGGAGAATTGCCTGAACCCAGGAGGCGGAGGTTGCGGTGAGCCAAGATCGCGCCATTGCACTCCAGCCTGGGTAACAAGAGCGAAACTCCATCTCAAAAAAAACAAAAACAAAAACAAAGACTCAAATTCTCGTCCTGCGTCTACCTCATATATTTTTCCCATCCTGAGTGTTTTTATTTTTCTGAAGTTCTAACAATCCCAGACTAAAAAACACAGAACTTTCCGTGGCTAGTAAGGTTCCCAAGCAAGGCCGGTGTCCTTAAATCTCAGTTTAAAGTAGGGAAAGAAAAGTAAGAAAAGAAAGGGCATAATAGTCTCCAGTCTTCTGGGAATTTCATTCCTTCAAACTAGTGGTTCACAAATTGTGAGTTGCAGGAGCCTACAGAATTATGATAATACCTCAAATCCATTTGTACAACCATCTTTATCTGTACACCAAATACACAATAAATTTCATAAATATGTCCTTGTTTTTCAACTATATGTAATTAACAAAAATCAAAATTCATTTAAAAGCTAAAATAAAGGACTAAGGAGGAAGAAAAAAAGTTATTGGGAGTATTATCACTTCTGAATTATAAGCATTCTCCAGACATCTCAAACAACCTGTCTCTGATTTAAACATTTTTTCTTCCAAATTACCAAGGATAATGCCAAAATGAACCCAGACTACCCAGAGTGCTGTCTGTCTACACAGATAGAAGGAAAATAAACTGATGTCTTTAATCCAGCAACTCAACATCTAGGGATTTATTACTAATGAGTTCAAAATTTTTTTCTGACCCGGGTGCAGTAGCTCACACCTGAGCTACTTTGGGAAGCCGAGGCGCCTGAATCACCTGAGGTCGGGAGTTCAAGACCAGCCTGACCAACATAGAGCAACCCTATCTCTACTAAAAATAAAAAAATGTAGCAGGGCGTGGTGGCACATGCCTGTAATCCTAGCTACCTGGCAGGCTAAAGTAGGAGAATCGCTTGAACCTGGGAAGCAGAGGTTGCAATGAGCTGAGGTGGCACCACTGTACTCCAGCCTGGGTGACAGAGCCAGACTCCTTCTAAACAAAAAAAAAAAATTGGCCAGGCATGGTAGCATGTGTCTATAGTTCCAGCTACATGCAAAACTGAGGCAGGAGGACTGCTTGAGCCCAGGAGGTCAAGGCCACAGTGAACTATGATCATGCCATGGCACTCCAACATGAGTGACAGAGCAAGACCCTGTCCCTTTAAAAAAAAAAAAAAAAAAGATAATATACAAGTATTTAATAGCATAAGCATATATTATATGTTAAGGAGGAAAAAGCAAATACAGAACAGCAAACAGAGAACAATAGTAAATTGAAAAATATATAATATACTGCAAAAGATCTGGAATGATAAATAATATTTAAAGGGTGAACAGTAATCTTTAGGTAGTGATATCAAGGGTAACAAATTGTTTCTGTGGGTCTATATTTTGTAAATATTCCATAATAAACAGCATTTTTGCATCAAATATATTTGCATATATAAATATATTCATAGATAATATAAAAGTGTCTATTATCTATAAAACATATTAAAATACATTTTACATATACTTTTTTTTTCTTTGTAGAGATGGGGTGTTGGCAGGGTGTCTTTTTCTTTAGTAGAGCAAAGAGAAAAAAATATATAAAAATTTATATATTTTTACATAATAAAAATATACAAATATGCATATGCATTTTGTATAATAAAAATATATAAATATTTATATATATTCTTTATTTTGTAGAGATGGGGTATTACTACATTGCCCAGGTTGGTCTCAAATTCCTGGCCTCAAGTGATGGTCCCGCCTCAGCCTCCCAAAGTGCTAGGATTACAGGCCTGAGCCACCCTGCCCAGCCTACATTCATTTTTAAATGTGAATAGTTTTAAAAAGAGTTGAAATAAATTCACTTTCTATTCTAGTTGTCAAATCATAGCATTTGTACCCTGAACCATGAATCACATGTTGACACAAGGTACTATTTTAAGTACTATTTGATTTTAAGTAATAAGAATAACAGGGAAAAGGTAAACACACTTAAATATCCATCAAATTTTATCATCTAAATTATTCAAGGCATTCAAAAACATGTAAACAACATAATCATTTATACAAATGAAAATACCTAATATGTAAAAAATACTTGCCAAGTTTCTCCCAGTTTTCTTGAGTATATTAAAATCTTAAACATCAAGATAAAATATATTTTCCCTCTCCTGCTGTTCTAACCTTAGAGTACTTCTTATCTGTCATCTCAATTTGACATACGATAGCCATATGTAATAATGAGATAGCTTTCATGATAAAAGTCAAAAGGCCCAAGGTGAGAACCATATCTCCTACATTTTCTTCCTCCTCCTCCTCATTATTTTTAGAAATGGGGTCCCATTGTGTTGCCCATGCTGGTCTCAAATTCCTGGCACAAGTAATCCTCCTGCCTTGGCCTCCCAAAGTGCAGGGATTACAGGTATGAGCCACCCTGCCCTGCCCCTCCTACACTTTCAACTCTTAGACCTGGACAAGTTAATTTACCTCTCTGAATCTCACTTTTCCTAGCTGTAACAGAGAATAATATTTATCTCATAGGGTTTTTGTGAAGACTGAATCAAAGAACACATGCAAAGTGCTCAGTACAGTACCTGAAGAATAGAAGGTACTCAATAAATGGTGACTGTTAAAGGCACAATGCAATAGTTGTTAAGTCAGAAAACCTGTCAAGGGTCTGGAAAACTATACGACCCTGGGCAAGCTACTTACTCTGTATGGACCTCAGTTTCATCCTCTGCAAATTTTTTTAATATATAATACCTATCTTACAGGTTTGTGCCAAGAATTAAACAAACTGTATACAAAAATCATCTTGCATATATTAGGTGCTCAATAAATTATAGCTAGCATCATTATTAGCTACAACAATAAACATCCGAGCACAGGGATTAGCAGTTTACAAAATACTTTTACGTATAAGAGTGTATGTAATTCAATGAATTATTTAAATAAGTGTATTTAACTCTCAAATTAGGGGTAAATTTCAGGAAAAAAGTAAAATACAGGCAATCTCTTCTAAGCACACAAAAATAAAAGGCCATTTTGTTAGTCTGAAAGTAAAAATGTATTCCCTAAAACTGGATCTGCTTTAATTTTTTTTTTTAAGTTCAAACTCATTTCCCTTTTATTAAAGTACAGGTTACCATTACATGGCTTGGTACTCAATAAAGGAAAACTTGTTCAAATAAGGTAATATGTTATCATCAGTATTTCCAGGTGACTGCTTACACTCAAGTAACAATATCAATAAATCCTTGGGAAGCCCATCCACGGGGTTTAAACTTTGTCAAGGCCGAGTTCCTCTGGAGTGGAGATTCCCAGTTCATTTAAAGTTGGTCTAAGTTCCTGGATGACATTGGGGTAGATTTCCTTATGAGGTCCTGCTTTGTCCTTAACAGCCTCTAGGATGCGAACTGTACTAGCAAAATCATTTAACCGTCTGTCTCCCCTCAAAGCAGCATCAATGATTTTAGGCTCTGGAACCAGATCATAGGTAACAAGTGTGTTTATCCCTTTACGCAATTCCCAGGCATCTATATCGGGCTTGTTGAAGTATGTTACCCAGCAAGCATCAAACTCCTCATCTGTCTCTTTTGACCCATGGGAATAATAGCGAACTGACTGGATAGCCGCGGTGGGGCCGGGGGTCGGGGCGTAGTGCAGGAGGCCTCGAGGGCCGGCCCGGGCGGTTGCAGCCACAGCGCAGCGGCGGAGAGCGGCTCCCAGCACTACCGCGATGGCGCCCGCAACCAGAGGATGAGAGAGAGAAGCCGGTGTGAGCTCGCGGGTGGCTTGCGGGCTGGCGGGGGCCGGACTCGCGCCTGCTTTAATATTTTTAAGGTCCAAATAAATCAAAAAGAGTTGAAAGGGGAAATGTTTGTTTTTTCTGCCCCTGGAAGAAGAGGAAAAAAAATTCTATTCTAAGTCCTTAGAAAGAAAATGAGATAAAATTGTTCAACTTTTTAAAATGACTTCACATTTCTTTACACAACTAAAATGTCTTTAATACAAGAACACTTTGAAAGCTCTCATTTCCTGTACTATATCTACTTTGTGCAGAAGCAGTAAATCACTATACTCAAAGACCAGACTATTGAGGCTGACTACCTTGATTCAAATCCTGGCTCCAATCAGCTGTGTGACCTTAGGCAAGTTTTAACTTCTCCCTACCTGTTTCCAACATCTGGGAAATGTAGATTCCACTTGGGATTGCTGTAAGGATTAAATGAGTTGATACACTTAAAAATGTTCGTTCATAAGAGAGCCTAGCAACTGGAGGGCACATCACAAATGTTTACCATTTTTGTTACTGTTTTATTACCGCCACCTTAATATGTTTAGATCTATGTCAACAAATTATTTGCCAATTTGTGGACAATTTCAACAAACGACTTTACCTGAAATGAGACTGTTTAAGAAGCACCTTAATGTGGTTTCCACTGCCAGTAAAGATAGCAATTGCTGCTAGAAGGGATTTTAATGCAAAGGTAAGTAAAGCCAATCCCTTTCTTACATACAGAGAAGTAATATCTTTGCTTGCTAATAGAAGTTCAGCACCAAGAGTTTTATAATTTAGGCATGGCACACACCAACCCAGCAGACACAATATTCTCCAACTTAAGCTCCGTATTACTCGACTACACTCCTTCAAAGAAAAAAGCTCAGACTGCTCTAATACTTTATGCTTTAAATACAAACTATACTGCCAAACAAACAAACTATATTTGTCAACAGAATGTCATAAGGATTAAGATATAGTAAATGGAACTGTATGAAAGTTAAGTAAGTACTAAATACTATTTTATGTATGTGCTTGAGAAAATTGCAGCAATGTATTTCTCCAATCTCAAATTGTTGCTCTCTAACTCCAAAACTAGTGTTCTGCCCACAGCAAACCAGGGACCAGAGTAACAAGACACAAAATCAGATTAAAGCTGCCATACCACTAAATCATTTCCTACTGGAAATGTACTCTTTCTTAAAATGTCCATGCAACAGATAACGCAGATATTACATGTGTTATTCAAGAGGCCTACATCAACAGTTTAAGGGCTGACATCCTGGAAATAGACTAATTCAAGACCAGAAAAATGTCTCTACAGTTTGACCAAACAATGCCACACCAATTACCAACTGTTCATAATGCTAGACTGGGTATAGAAAAATGCTGAATAACTTCACATTCAAGAACATGGTAACCCAAAATAACAGAAGTCAAGTACACAGGGCCACATTTCAACTGCAGCTGATGGCTGGAATGTCTACCTGGCTCACTCTAAAACTGAAAGTTGAGTTCCAGCATCAATCAGGGATATGGCCATGAATATGGCTACGCCGGCCAAATCAAACCACCGGTCATTGGCATCCTTCAGTGAGCCAGATCCTACTGAATGCTAACCCCTGACCTGGTGAATAAAAAGGGAGGCTGGTAGTCAAAACAGATTCTTCCAGTTGCAGCTCCATTTTGAGATTCCTCATTGATGTAACTAGTGAAATCAAATTTGGGTAAATGTGAAGAATTTCTCAAATATAGGTGGAAAACTTACTTGAGTACGCCTCACAGATCTAGTCACTTTTTTGTTTAGTAAGATAAAAATACAGTATTCATTAATTTGTTTTGTTCATAAAATCGTTTCGGGCCTGTGATGATGGTTAGAGGGATAACTAGGACTTTTCTTCAGGATCTCCACAGATCTTATCCACTAGCATGTAAAATTGGAGTTAGATCTGCTCCTCCTTTCAGAGATAAGCCAAAGATATGTAAGATACTATGCAAGAGTATTTTCAGCATTTGAGAAGGAACTTGCTAGAGGAAAAAAGGATCTGCACAGATCTCAAACCTTTACTAAGCCAGTTTCTCCACTAGCATGTAAATCTGGGAGTTAGATCTGCTCCTCCTTTCAAAGAGAAGCCAAAGATAAACAAGATACTATGTAAGAGTTTTTTCAGCATTTCAGAAGGAATGTGCTAAAGGAAAAAACCTAACAATGTAACTGAACTGTTTAACACCTAAATCGGGAATCACCACAGAGCCGGTGTTGAAAATCAAATTCATTAAAGCCAGATTTTTCTGTTTTGAGTTTCTGGGTTGGGAAACTGGTCTGTGTCTATACAAACTCATCTTCTAATGAGACGAAATAGTGGGATTCTTCAGTAACGTCCCTCCTTCCCACTCCCTATCTTTTTCAGAACTTCCATGCATTAAAGACATCGTCTGCCAGTCCTACAACTTCTCCCCGCTTGCCGGGATTCAGAAGGATTCCACAACTTTTCAGCCTTCTGTGACTTTTAACGCTACTCTACAGCTAATCACTTTTAATGACCCCACTCTGGAATACACTCCTCGTCTTTACACTTTGTCCCGGCAGCAATCGACTGAACTGTCCCCCAACGCCGGCCACCTCGGACGACCTCAGACCTTCGGAGTAGTTTGTCCGCGGGCCAGGCCCCGCAAGCTCCGATTCCTGCCCCACCTCCATGAGCCGCCCGCCCCGCAAGCCCTCCTCAACCTCAACCCCCAAATCCCAAACGCAGCACCACTGGGCTTCCGGTTCTCTTGTGCGCGCCCCGGATCCACCACACACTGCGCCCCTTCTCCCTGGGCTCGCTCTCGGGACCCTAACCCCTTCCGGAGCGGGGCCGAGCAACGCTCTCAGCAGCTGAACTAAGGCTCCCGAGGCCGCGCGTTCCCCTCAGCAGGCCCCGCCTGGGCCTTTCGGCTCGGCTGCCCTCCAAGGCATCCCTGACCCAGCCGTACTGACGCGGAAGAGTGGGGCAACACGAGCTCAGGGCCCGGCACTTACTCGGGAAGGTAGGTGGAGGAAAAGGAGCTCCACTTGTGTAGAGCGTAGGAGAGAAGCCGGCACTCAGGCGCCGCAGCGACAGCTCCGCCAGCCGCCATCTTGTCAGCACCGTAGCGGCCGCCACCGTCCGCTGGCCACGAACGGGAGGAGGGAGGGGGCGTGGCCTGCTCTTAAAGGGGCCGCCGCCCGCCCAGGCCGGCCGCGCTCCTTGCCCCGGCATCGTTACCCGGGCCCAGCGCGGGGCCAGGGTCCTATCTCAGGGTTTCCTACGTCGCTTGCCCCTTGACCGCTGAGCGACACTGGGGCTGAGGTGGGAGCGCTTTCCAAGCTTTTTCCTGGGGCTTGGAGGGGAATGGCGCAAAGGATTTTTCTTACAAGCAGAGATAAGGACTAGCCAAGATGATTACAAACAGAAACACGTTGTAGTTATGGAGCAGGAAGGGAAAACGAGGAGACCAAGTTGGAAAAGGGACGCCTGTGCGCCTTTGGAAGCCGCCGCCCTAGCCAATGTATAAATCCTTTACGAAAACAACACTGAAGGGAGCTGGAGGGCAGTAGCTAACGTGCTCTACTCCTGGAGTGGTCCTGGTTTTAAATGTCCCCGCCTTCCAGAGTCAGATGGAAACAGGAAAAGGAAATGGTCCTGTGTCCTCCTACCCTGTTAGGTTTTCAGTCTGTGATGCCCTTCATTGTAAACATATCTTGTGAACCACGTCCTACTAATCTTGTAGCATGAGGTTTGCTCGGGAATGACGTTCACCCACAGACCTGAAAGTCCTTACAGAGTTGGGAGGCTGCGTGTCATCGTTTTTCCAGTTGGCAAATCTGCCCACTTTGAACTGACAAAAATATGGCCTCAAAGTTGAGAGAAAGAGAAGTTCAGGAAAAAGACGATTCCTTCCTCACAGAGGGAACAGCAGCCCCGAAAACCATATGGGCATCACACAACTTCTTAAAACAAAAGGAGCACTTGGTCTAAATATCTGGCAGCTTTAGATCAGGTTCCCATTAAGTACCTGTTCATATTTTTTCCTTGGCTTAGCCACTGCAGTTACCAAAGTTATATGTTGCTTATTGTCCAAGAGGTTGGTCTTCTGAAAACCTGAACGGTATCGTCATCTCCACCTGAAGAGTGGAAATATTTAAGCAAAGAGTTTCTCGGGAAATGACCAAGTGACTCAAAACACCTCAATAATTGTATTCTCTTTCCATTGTAATCATTAACCTGCCGAAACTCCCTCCAGTCCTTTCCTGACTTCCTACTTCTATAGATGAAAATTTAATAGTGGCCTAAACGAGGATATCAGATCAAAAAAGACCAAATAGAAAGGTCAGGCAGGGCACAGTGGCTCACACCTGTAATCCCAGCACCTTGGGAGGCCCAGGTGGGAGGATCACTTGAGCCCAGGAGTTTGAGACTAGACTGGGCAATGTAGCAAGATCCCCATCTCTAAAATATCAAAAATAAAATAAGAAAGGCCACAAGTATGTTCACCTTTAAAATTACATGTGCTTGGCCAGGTGCAGTGGCTCACACCTGTAATCCCAGCACTTTGGGAGGCTGAGGCAAGTGGATCACCTGAGGTCAGGAGTTCGAGACCAGTGTGGCCAATATGGTGAAACCCCATCTCTACTAAAAATACAAAATTAGCCGTGTGTGGTGACATACACCTGTAATTCTAGCTACTTGGAAGGCTGAGGCACAACAATCACTTGAACCTAGGAGGCAGAGGTTGCAGCCAGCCAAGGTCACACCCCTGAACTCCAGAGTCAGACTCTGTCTCAGAAAAATAAATAAAATTACATGTGCTCTGTGTGTTGCAGCAGGTTGGAAAAGTATGTGTTCCTTAAGGGAACGCTGTAGCCCTAGTGACTTGGGTTGGGAGCTGCCACAGAGAGTAGGAAAGGGACAAAGAATGTTAGCCCCAGAGTTGATACAGTGGTTATCTTTGGAGAAAAGAGACACTTGAAAGGAGAGGAATTAACTCACTCCAATTCTTTTGGGCCCCAGGTTTTTACCTTAGTGTAAGTCAAGTCCTTGTTCTTTTCCAGACATAGTTCCCGAGCAATCTTTTTTAAAAACACATATAAACTAGTTCTTCTTAAGCTTAAATCCTATTGGTGACTTTCAGCCCCCTTCTAAACTGTTTAACAGAGGCCCTTCATAACCTGCCTTGATTTTTCTCTCCAGCTTCCCTTGCCCCCTCCCCCCATCTTTCTCCTTTGCCCTTTTGACATCTGCCCTCTAAACCAGTGCACTGAATTTGTTCCCATAGAGTCCTTGTTCTTTCTAGCCTCCAGGGCTCATTCTAAGCCAGGCATGGAATATTCTTTCCTATACTTTACCTGGCTAACTCCAGTAGACTATTTTTTCCTGGAAGTTTTTTTGAGACAGAGTCTCACTCTGACTCTGTCACCCAGGATAGAGTACAGTGGCATGAACATGGCTCATTACAGCCTTGACCTCCTGGGTTTAAAGGATCATCCTGCCTCATCCTCCCATGTAGCTGGGGCCAGAGACACACATCACTACACCAACCTACTTTTTAAATTTTTTTGTAGACACAGGGTTTCACTCTGTTGTCCAGGCTGGTCTTGAACTCCTGGGCTCAAGTTATCCTCCTGCGTCAGCCCAGCCTCCCAAAGTGCTGGGATTACAGGTGTGAGCCACTGCATCTGGCTGAAAATCTTTCTTCATCACCTGCTATGGGGTTAGGTGACATTTTTCTTCATTTTTTTTTTTTTTTTCCTGTGCAAACTGACACAGGATAGGTGACATTTTTTACATTTCTCTTGGCACTCTAAGTTTCCCTCTTTATCTTAGCACACATCACAATATATTTTAATTTCCTCTTTATTTCTCTTTCTCTCTAGATGATAGCTCCCATGAAGATAAGACTCATACATATCTTGTTCACAGTTGTCTCCTCAGTTCTGTTGATGTGTCTAGCAAATAGATGTTCAGTGAATATTTATCAAAGAATGAATGAACAGTGCTAAAAGAGAACTTGAATTAGTGACTTCTGAGTTGCAAAGGAAAAAGAATGCCAGCACTTCTCAGACTACAAACATGTATCCCTCAGGTATGATTGCTACTCAGAAGGTGAAGACCCAGGATAGCGTGGCTTTCCTGCATCACAAATTTTATAAATGGTAAAATAATTTAAAGCATTTCTATGTTAACATAAATACAGACAGCTATATTATGATACTGAGCTGAAAATTTGTTTAAATGTTAAGAAAAGAACTTTATCTGAGAAATGCAAATCCTTTTAAATTATGAGGCCCAGAGAGGCATTAAAGTGAAACGGCTGTGAAATACACAGCTTTTGAGCCGTGTATTTGTCTCTTGAAACTGCTTACTATTGCCGCAGAAGCTAAACAGTAACCTACTAATTAATGCTGCACCAGACATTATAACCCACATCCTGTAGTTTAATAATGTATAGCCAATCAGTAGCTTATTTTATTTTAAGGTCAATTATTGGTAAATAACTCAAGATCATCTTTCCCTTTAAAATCCACTTGTAAAGATCTTTCTCTTTGAAAATCCACTTGTAACTGCTGCTACTAGAGTTTATAATCAGGGCAACCTGAATCTATGTTCCAGGGTTGCAGTCCTCAAGCCTGGGCCACATAAACTCCCAACTTATATTAATTTTGCCTCAGCTTCTTTCTTATAGGTCAAACACCTGGAGTAAATCAGCAGGATTCAGTGACTCCCCAGCCACCTGGTGTTTCTCTCTGAAAGCAGCACTTGATACCAGCGTGAACGAACTCGCCTCCTTCAGAAGTGCCTTCAGGTGTTTCAGGTGAGATCTCCTAAATTTGGACCTCCCGCTCTTTGGTTGAAGGTCTACACTTTATTCGGGCTGTTTTTCAAACCCTCTCTTTTTTTTTTTTTTTTTTTCAGAATGAGGGCTTCTTTCTCTGTCTTTGGACAGGAGATTTGGGTAAAGAGCTCTGCAGGGAACTGCCTTTTTTCCCCCTTTGTCTCACAGCAGAGGTGCAAGTCATAGTTTTTCTGCCTTTGCCTCAGAACCAGGGGTTTGGGTCAAGTTTTTTTCACCTCCGTCTCACAGCAGAGGTTCAAGTGAAAGAACTGGCAGATGGTACCAGTGGTTTCATTTTAGACAGTATGCTTTTGAGATAGCAGCTGTCTTCAATTTCTTGAAAATTCTGAATTTGCCTTTAATTTTGACCAATTCCTGTTAGTTCCTAACTAAAAAGCATACCCCTTTTGCTCTTGCAGATGGGCATAATATGAGGGTCTGGTCCCTTGTACCTTGAGGACTCTGCCATCTGACAATTACAGACAATCCAGTTGTCCTCATCCTTGAGGACTCTGCTGCCATCTGACAATTAGAGACAGTCCAAGACATGTCACACTTTGATCCTAAACACATTTCTGACTTTGGTCACTTTTGAAAAGTTTCTGAATTATGTGAAATCAATAATAAGAATATTCAAAACCCAAACACTCTTTTTAGAAATACCAGCTGGAATTACATATACGATTTATGGGGTACTCTTGTAGCACCTGGGAAAGTGGACCCCTCTAACCTGGAATGATGATAGGCAACAATGACCAAAAATGGGGATCTTTTGATATACCTTAAGTAATTTATTTGTGCATACCAATGGAAAGAGCTGGTTTTACAACCAGACATATAAATAGGAGACTTACTTCCAGTGGCACCTAAAAAATCCTGAAAGAAAAAAATCGCCTTTATTCCAGAGGTAAACAAGGGGATATTTGAAACGATTTAAAAAGACTTCACAGGCTTTCTGCTTTTCATCCGCAGATCCTTCTTTTCCTTCCAGCCCTGTGATCTGAACTCATCTCTGCCTCTTCCCTTGACTTCCATATATCTCTTAGGCAGAGATTTTTTAAATCTCACAACACACACACTTCCTTCTCTCAGGGGAAATGAATTTAAATTTAGAGCAGAAGGAACAAACAGAACAACAACATAACGGGAATAAGACTGCTGAGACTATAAAAATGCAGATCCAACAAAATTTTTCCTAACCAGGTCTAGTGAATGACACTGTGATATGGTCTGGCTCCATGTCCCCAACCAAATGTCATCTTGAATCGCAATCTCCGTGTGTCAGGGGAGAAGCCTGGTAAGAGGTGATTGGATCGTAGGGCAGTTTCCTCCATGCTGTTCTCATGATAGTGAGGGAGTTCTCATGAGATCTGATGGTTTAAAGTGTTTGGCAGTTACTTTTCTGGCTTTCTCTCTCCTGCTGTCTTGTGAAGAAGGTGCTGGCTTCCCCTTCCCCTTCCACCGTGATCGTAAGTTTCCTGAGGCCTCCCCAGCCATGCGGAACTGTGAGTCAATTAAACCTCTTTGATTTATAAATTACTCAGTCTCGGTAGTTCTTTATAGCAGTGTGGGAATGAACTAATACACACTGATTTATTGAGCCACTATCAGAAAGTACCCTTTAAATCTTATGTCTTTAAAATGCTAACCTTCAGGGAATTAGTGAAGCAGCGTTCCAGATGAGATCAGATCTTAAAAAAGTTAAAATCCTTAAATGCTTAAACTGCCTGCTTTGAATTCCCTGCAAGATTTACCAAAAAAAAAAAAAAAAACACACAAACAAAAAAAAAATGAAAACAAATGCAAAACTCTCTACCCTGTGGTATAATGGCTAGGGTTTAGTGCTTTCACCACTGTAACCTGGGCTCAATTCCTGGCCAGGGAGCTAGTCCCTTTTGTTTTAAATTATTGTATGATTCTTGACCTTTTGGGATACCGTTTGTTGTTGAGCCTTATCCCTTCCATGGACAACTTTTGATTTCCCGTCTTTATCCATTTGTGGGACATACAGAGCATTTGGGCCTTCGTGAGTACCCAGCTAAGAAGCTAAGATCCTGGAAATCATGCCAGATAGCAATGTGAGTTGTACTTCACTTGTGGATAGTGAAACTTTCCTTTCTGTGAGCTGTCTTTGGGGTGATTCTGGCTGTTGTGAGGACTGTGTTGTACCTCCTTTGAAGATGCCCCATGCATCTTTGGTTAAGTCATAACCTTGATTGAGGCTCATTGATTTTGGTGAGTCATTTGGAAGGGTACCTTTGTTTTTTTTTTAAAGTTCAAAAACCAGGAATAATAGCTATTTGTGCTGGATAATACCTGATAATGAGAGATTTGAAAAGTTTTTGTTTTTTTAATTTTACTTTAAACTGTGGGATACATGTGCACAACGTGCAGGTTTGTTGCATAAGTATACATGTGCCATGGTGGTATGCTGCACCTACCAAATGTCATCTTGGTTTTAAGCCCCACATTCATTAGGTATTTGTCCTAATGCTCTCCTTCCCCTTGGCCCCACCCTGACTGCCTCTGGTGTGTGATATTCCCCTCCCTGTGTCCATGTATTCTCATTGTTCAACTCCAACTTATGAAGGAGAACATGTGGTGTTTGGTTTTCTGTTCCTGTGTTAGTTTGCTCAGAATGATGTCTTCCAGATACATCCATGTCCCTGCAAAAGGACATGAACTCATCATTTTTTGTGGCTACATAGTAATCCATGGTGTATATGTGCCACATTTTCATTATCCAGTCTACCATTGATGGGTATTTGGGTTGGTTTGAAGTTTTTGCTATTGTAAATAGTGCTGCAGCAAACACATATGTCACATGTCTTTATATCAGAATGATTTATCACCCTTTCAGTATATACCCAGTGATGAGGTTACTGGGTCAAATGGTATCATCTATGGTTCTAGATCCTTGAGGAATCGCCACACTGTCTTCCACAATAGCTGAACTAATGTACACTCCCACCAACAGTGTAAAAGCATTCCTATTTCTCCACAGCATCGCCAGCATCTGTTGTTTCCTGACTTTTTAATAATTGCCTTTCTAACTGGGATGAGATAGTATCTTATTGTGGTTTTGATTTGCATTTCTCTGATGACCAGTGATGATGAGCTTTTTTTCATAGGTTTGTTGGCCACATAAATGTCTTCTTTTAGAAGTGTCTGTTCATATCCTTTGCCCACTTTTTTATGGGGTTGTTTTTTTCTTGTAAATTTGTTTGTTTCTTGTAGATTCTGGATATTAGAACTTTGACACATGGGTAGATTGCAAAATTTTTTCCCAGTCTGTAGGTTGACTGTTCACTCTCATGATAGTTTCTTTTACTGTGCAAAAACTCTTTAGTTTAATTAGATCCAATTTCTCAATTTTTGCTTTTGTTGCCATTGCTTTGGTGTTTTAGTCATGAATTCTTTGCCCATGCTTATGTCCTGAATGGTATTGCCTAGGTTTTCTTCTAGGGTTTTTATGGTTTTGGGTTTTACATTTAAATCTTTAATCTATCTTGAGTTAATTTTTATATAAGGTGTAAAGAAGGGATCCAGTTTTCCCAACACCGTTTATTAAATAGGGAATCCTTTCCCCATTGCTTGTTTTTGTCAGGTTTGTTGAAGATCAGATGGTTGTGGATGTGTAGTGTTCCATTGGTCTATATATCTGTTTTGGTACCAGTACCATGCTGTTTTGGTTACTGTAGCCTTGTAGTTTGAAGTCAGGTAGCATGATCCCTCCAGATTTGTTCTTCTTGCTTAGGATTGTCTTGGCTATACAGGTTCTTTTTTGTTTCCGTACGAAATTTAAAGTAGTTTTTTTCTAACTCAGTGAAGAAACTCAATGATAGCTTAATGGGAATGGCATTGAATCTATAAATTACTTTGGGCAGTATGGCCATTTTCACGATACTAATTCTTCTTATCCATGAGCATGGATTTTTTTCCATTTATTTGTGTCCTCTCATTTCATTGAGCAATGGTTTGTAGTTCTCCTTGAAGAGGTCCTTCACATCCCTTGTAAATTGTATTCCTATGTATTTTGTTCTTTGTAGCAATTGTGAATGGGAGTTCACTAATGATTTGGCTCTCTGCTTCTCTATTATTGGTGTATAGGAATCCTTGTGATTTTTGCCCATTGATTTTATATCCTGAGACTTTGCTGAAGTTGCTTATCAGCTTAAGGAATTTGGGGGCTGAGATGATGGGGTTTTCTAAATATACAATCATGTCATCTGGAAACAGAGACAATTGACTTCCTCTCTTCCCATTTGAATACCTTTTATTTCTTTCTCTTGCCTTATTGCCCTAGCCAGAACTTCAAATAAGATGGTGAGAATAGGAGTTGAATAGGAGTGGTGAGAGAGGGCATCCTTATTTTGTGCCAGTTTTCAAAGGGAATGCTTCCAGCTTTTGCCCCTTCAGTATGATATTGGCTACTTGTTTGTCATAAATAGCTCTTATTTTGAGATATGTTCCATCAATATTTAGTTTGTTGAGAGTTTTTAGCACGAAGGTGTTGAATTTCATCGAAGGCCTTTTCTGCATCTATTGAGATAATCATGTTTTGTCATTGGTTCTGTTTATGTGATGGATTACGTTATTGATTTGCATATGTTGAACCAGCCTTGCATCCCAAGGATGAAGCTAACTTGGTCATGATGGAATGCTTTTTGATGTGCTGCTGGATTCAGTATGCCAGTATTTTATTGAGGATTTTCACATTGATGTTCATCAGGGATATTGGCCTGAATTTTTCTTTTTTTCTTGTGTCTCTGCCAGATTTTGGTATCAGGAGGATGCTGGCCTCATAAAGTGGTCTGAGAGACTGTTTGAGGAAGGAGTCCCTCTTTTTCTGTTGTTGGTAATAGTTTCAGAAGGAATGGTACCATCTCCTCTTTGTACCTCTGGTAGAATTCAGCTGTGACTCTGTCTGGTCCTGGGCTTTGTTTGGTTGGTAGGCTATTAATTCCTGCCTCCATTTCAGAACTTGTCATTGGTCTATTCAGGGATTCGACTTCTTCCTGGTGTAGTCTTGGAAGGGTATATGTGTCCAGGAATTTATCCATTTCTTCTAGATTTTCTAGTTTATTTGTGTAGAGGAGTTTATAGTATTCTATGATGGTAGTAGTCTATATTTCTGTGGGATCAGTGGTGATATCCCCTTTATCATTTTTTATTGTGTCTATTTGATTCTTCTCTCTTTTCTTCTTTGTTAGTCTAGCTAGGGGTCTATCTATTTTGTTAATTTTTTCAAAAAACCACCTCCTGGATTCATTGATTTTTTGCAGGCTTTTTTATGTCTCTGTCTCCTTCAGTTCTGCTCTGATCTTAGCTATTTCTTGTCTTGTGCTAGCTTTTGAATTTGTTTGCTCTTGCTTCTCTAGTTCTTTTAATTGTGATGTTAGAGTGTTGATTTCAGATCTGTCCAGCTTTCTGATGTGGGGATTTCATGCTATAAATTTCCCTCTTAACACTGCTTATCTGTGCCCTAGAGATTCTGGGATGTTGTCTCTTTCATCTCATTGGTTTCAAAGAACTTCTTTATTTTTGCCTTAATTTCATTGTTTATCCAAGAGTCATTAAGGAGCAAGTTGTTCACTTTCCATGTAGTTGTGCAGTTTTGAGTGAGTTTCTTAACCCTGAGGTCTAATTTAATTGCACTGTGGTCTGAGAGACTGTTTGTTATGATTTCCATTCTTTTGCATTTGCTGAGGAGTGTTTGCTTTCCAATTATGTGGTCAGTTTTAGAATAAGTGCCATGCTGTGCTGAGAAGAATGTATATTCTGTTGATCTGGGGTGGAGAGTTCTGTAGATGTCTGTTAGGTCCACTTGATCCACAGCTGAGTTCAAGTCCTGAATATCCTTGTTAATTTTCTCTCATGTTGATCTGTCTAATATTGATAGTGAGGTGTTAAAGTCTGCTACTATTTTTGTGTAGGAGTCTAAGACTCTTAGTTGGTCTCTAAGAACTTGTTGTATGAATCTGGGGGCTCCTGTATTGGGTGCATATATATTTAGGATAGTTCCTGTTGCACTGAGCCCTTTACCCTTCTTTGGCATTCTGTAATGCATTCTTTGCGTTTTTTTGAACTTCGTGGATTTAAAGTCTGTTTTGTCAGATACTAGGATTGCAATCCCTACTTTTTTTTTTTTTTCTTTCCATTTGCTTGGTAAATATTCCTCCATCCCTTTATTTTGAGCCTATTTTTGTCTTTGCACATGAGATGGGTCTCCTAAATATAGCATACCAATGGGTCTTGACTCTTTATTCCATTTTCCAGTCTGTGTCTTTTGATTGGGGCATTCAGCCCATTTACATTTAAGGTTAATATTATTATGTGTGAATTTGATCCTTTCATCATGATGCTAGCTGGTTATTTTGCACATTAGTTGATGCGTTTTCTTCATAGTGTCACTGATCTTTTTGGCATGTTTTTGGTCTATTTTGGTGTGTGTTTGCAGTGGCTGGTGCTGGTTTTTCCTTTCCATATTTAGTGCTTCGTTCAGGAGCTCTTGTAAGGCAGGCCTGGTGATGACAAAATCCCTCAGTATTTGCTTTTCTGGAAAGGATTTTATTTATTCTTTGTATATGAAGCTTAGTTTGGCTGGGTATGAAATTCTGGGTTGAAAACTATTTTCTTTAAGAATGTTGAATATTGGCCCCCTCTCTCTTTTGGCTTGTAGGGTTTCTGTAGAGATATCCACTGTTAGTCTGATGGGCTTCCCTTTGTAGGTGAACTGACCTTTCTCTCTGGCTGCCATTAACATTTTTTCCTTTGTTTCAACCTTGGAGAATCTGATGATTATGTGTCTTAAGCTGATCTTCTCAAGGAATATCTTAGTGGAGTTCTCTGTATTTTCTGAATTTAAATGTTGGCCTCTCTTACTAGGTTGGGAAAGTTCTCCTGAATAATACCCTGAAGTATGTTTTCCAACTTGGTTCCATTCTCCACATCACTTTCAGGTACACCAGTCGATCATAGCTTTGGTCTTTTCACATAGTCCCATATTTCTTGGAGGCTCTGCTCCTTCCTTTTCATTCTTTTTTCTCTAATATTGTCTTTACACCCTATTTTAGCAAGCTGATCCTCAATCTGTGATATCCTTTCTTCTGCTTGATCGATTTGGCAATTGATACTTGTGTATGCTCCATGAAGTTCTCGTGCTATATTTTTTAGCTCCATCAGATCATTTATGTTCCTCTCTAAACTGGTTATTCCAGTTAGCAGTTCATGTAGTTCTTAGCTTCCTTTCATTGGGTTAGAACATGCTCCTTTAGATCAGAGGAGTTTGTTATTACCCACCTTCTGAAGCCTACTTCTATCAGTTTGTTAATCTCATTCTCTGCCCAGTTTTGTTCCCTTGGTGGAGAGGAGTTGGGATCATTTTGAGGAGAAGAGGCATTCTGGTTTTTGGAATTTTCAGTGTTTTTGTGCCGGTTTTTCCTCATCTTCATGGATTTATCTACCTTTGTTCTTTGAGGCTGATGAACTTTGGATGGGTATTTTGCGTGGGAGTCTTTTTTGTTGATGTTATTGTTGTTGCTTTCTGTTTGTTAGTTTTTCTTCGAATAGCCAGGACCCCCTTCTGCGAGTCTGCTGCAGTTTGCTGGAGGTCCACTCTAGACCCTATATCATCCGTAGATGCTGCGGAACAGCAAAGGTTGGTGGATGCTGCAGAACAGCAAAGGTTGGTGGATGCTGCAGAACAGCAAAGGTTGGTGGATGCTGCAGAACAGCAAAGGTTGGTGGATGCTGCAGAACAGCAAAGGTTGGTGGATGCTGCAGAACAGCAAAGGTTGGTGGATGCTGCAGAACAGCAAAGGTTGCTGTCTGCCCCTTCCTCTGGAAGCTTCATCCCAGAAGGGCACTGGCCTGATGTCAGCTGGAGTTCTCCTGAATGAGGTATCTGTGGACCCCTGTTGGGAGGTTCTCCCAGTCAGGAGGCATGGGGGTCAGAGACCCACTTGAGAAGGCAGTTCATCCCTTAGCAGAGCTGTTATGCTGTACTGGAATACCCCTTGTCAGAATTAGCTGCTCTCTTCAGAGCCAGCAGGCAGGAACGATTAAGTCCGCTGAAGTTGTACCCACAGCCACCCCTCCCCACAGTGCTCTGTCTCAGGGAGATGAGAGTTTTATTTGTAAGCCCCTGACTGGGACTGTTACCTTTCCTCCAGAAATGTCCTGCCCAGTGAGGAAGAATCTTGAGAAGCAATCTGGCCACTGCCACTTTGCCATGCTGTGGTGAATTCTGCCCAGTGCAAACCTCACAGTCGCCTTTGCACTGTTAGGGGAAAACTGCTTACTAAAGCCTCAGTAATAGCAGATGCCCCTCTCCCCACCAAGCTCGATTGTCCCAGGTTGCTCCAGACTGCTATGCTAGCAGTGAGAATTTCAAGCCAGTGGTTCTTAGCTTGCTGCGCTCCGCTCCATAGGAGTGGGACCTGCTGAGCAAGACCACTTGGCACCCTGGCTTCAGCCCCCTTTCTAGGGGAGTGAACGGTTCCATCTCACTGGACTTCCAGGTGCCACTGGGGTATGAGAAAAACTCCTGCAGCTAGCCTGGTGCTTGGTGCCTAATTAAATGGCCTCCCAGGTTTGTGCTTGGAACCCCTGGCCCTGGTGGTATAGGCTCACGATGAATTCCCTGGATCTGCGGATTGCAAAAACCATGGGAAAAGCATAGCACCCAGGCTAGGTAGCACAGTTCCTCACAGCTTCCCTTGGCTGGGGGAGGGAAGTCCCCCAGCTTCTTGCACTTCATGGGTGAAACAATGCCCCACCCTGCTTCTGCTCAGTCTCCGTGGGTTACACTTACTGTCTAACTAGTCCCAATGAGATGAACTGGATACCTCAGATGGAAATGTAGAAATCACCCACCTCCTGCATTGGTCTTGTTGGGAGCTGCAGACTGGAGCTGCTTCTGTTTGGCCACCTTGGCCCCTCCTTGAAAAGTTTTTCTTAGAGCTCCATAGTCAAAAGTCAGCTTCATAGGAACAGATTCACCCAGGCATGGTGGTTCATGCCTGTAATCCCAGCACTTTGGGAGGCCACGGTGGGAAGATTGCTTGAGTCCAAGAGTTTGAGACCAGCCTGGGCAATGTAATGAGACCCTGTCTCTACAAAAAGTAAGAACAAAACTTAGCTGGGCACAGTGGCGCATGCCTGTAGTCTCAGCTGCTTGGGAAGCTGAGGTGGGAGGATCATTTAAGCCCAGAATGTGTCAAGGCTATGTGAATTGTAATCATGCCACTGCACTCCAGTTTCTGTGACAGAATAAGACCCTGTTTCTATTTATTTATTTATTTTCAGTATGAAAGAACAGAGAGACCCTCTCTCTAAAAACAAACATAAATGAGATTCAAGCTCCTCTCTCCTCTCTGCTGTCTTCAGTACCATATGAAAGGACCTAGCGGAGACTTCTATTGACTCAGACTTCTTAAGGAAGACAGAAAAAGATGCCTCTCACTGCCTTCCTAGGGGCTTCTGTCTTCCTGTGGGGTCTAAAGAATGATGGAGAGATTCCATGACAGTTTCCAGCACAAAACTCTGCTTTCTTTTATGTTGTGTCACCTGATCCCTTTGGCTTTTAGGAGTACCAGATATTACTTTCTTCTGTGAGAGAGTACCTACCTTTGTGTGTATGATGGCTAGCAAGTTACTGGTGAGTACTACAGTACTGGAGGTGGCTGACAGCAGTTGTTCTACAGTGAATGATTATTATTATTACTACAGGGTGTTACTGGTTTCTTTTGCTCATTAAAATAAGAAAGGCACTGTTTAAACACTGAAAATGTTTTTGCAGTGAACTATACCATGAAACTGTTGCATGGCTCAGTCCCATGGTGTTTCCCTCTTTTGGGGGACTCAGGATTCAGTCTAAGAATGGAATTCTTAATTTTTGAAGAACTAGATGCTCTGCCTTACAATTGCAGCTGCTTTTCACATATTTAAATAATTAGGGTCAAAAAACTATAAATGCTTTGTTTGCCCTGTTCCTTAATGGGCTCTGCCCTGAACCCAGTGATCCAACTGGAAAACAGACTAAATTAAAAGCTACTTATCTAAGTGAAAGTGGTCTCCTTATAAAATCCAATGATAGATTCCTGTGATTTTGGGTTACCTTGGCATCCATTTTTAATTTTCCTCCAACACACCCAAACTCCTCCTTGAAAAGGATTAAATTCTTTCTCTTTGTGCTTTGAGATATAAATTTACTACTGCATTTTCTCTAAAACTCAATACAGGTTTCAGCCATTTGGATCAGATAAACCTTAAACTTTTCCATTTGTAAAGGTACAGTTTGAATCCAACTGTCCTTTTAAACTAGTGAGATTTACCAGTCTCATGACTAAAATTTTTTCTCTGTTTTTTTTTTTTTAACCTCAGTTCACCAGCAGTTTCATTGTGACTAAAATTTTTAAATTAAAGCTATAAAGTCTTTATCTGTGTCTATCTGAATTATGTGTACATGTATACATGTCTGTTTATATATTGTCTACGTGGTACCACTGAGTTATAGAAAAAGTGCTCATAAATTAAATAATCAACCCAAATGCCTTTCACAGTCACTTGACTTTAGTAATCTTGAGTTTAAATTAAGATCGTTTTAAAATTATTGGTAAAGTAAAATAGAAACGTCTTCAAATTTTAATTTAAACATGCTTGCCTAGGTCTGTTGGTCAGACGGGTTTATACTGTCTCTGCTACATGTTTTAAGGTCATAAGGGCATTGCTTTTATGGTTTTTTTTTTTTTATATATATTTGTTTAATTTGTTTGTGAGCTTATGTCTTTGGATTTGAGCCTTTAGATTCTGAGAACTAGACAAATGGCCCTGGGGACAGTGCCTGGGCCCCATCATCCCTAGTTGAGCTGTGCCTCTTGGCTATATGGCAAGGAGTCGGATCCTCCAAGCATTGTCTCCATAGCACTGCCCTTTGTCCTGAGCCCTGCCTGTGGTACACAATTAAAGTTGCTTACTTTTTAGGTTTTTAACTGAAAATTAGGTTTACTAAGAGTTAACTATATGGTTAATATATGTAACTAAAACTACTAGGCCAGAAACAATTTCATATAGAGAACATATAAAGGAAGAAGTAAAGAGAGTTGAAAAGGAGAATTATTTTCTTTTACATAAGAGAGGACTTTGGTCAAAATGATAAGTGGGAAAGTAAATCTTTGTCCTAAGTAGAATGCTAATATAAAAAATGAAATATAGGACAAAACTGAATGTGTAAGCAAGTTGTAGAAGGTTTGTAGAAGATTAATCTCATAAAAAGAATTTTGTCTTTGATAAAGTTGGCTAAAATTAGAAAGAGATTATTAAGTTTTTCTAAAACTCGAGCATTAATATTTAAAGCACATCGATGCAGGACCCCTGTTTCAGAGTAACAAGGTTTTCTGGCAGCATTAATCTGCTCTTTAATTGAAAACAATTTTAAGGTTATTGAAATCTTATGCAGTTAAAACTGAGGACCAGATGCAGTGGCTCATGCCTGTAATCCCAGCACTTTGGGAGAGTGAGGTGGGTGGATCACTTGAGGTGAGGAGTTTGAGACCAGCCTGGCCAAGATGGTGAAACCCCATCTCTACTGAAAAAAACATAAATTAGCTGAGCATGGTGATCAGTGCCTGTAATCCCAGCTACTCAGGAGGCTAAGGCAGAAGTGCTTAAACCCAGGAGGCAGAGGTTGCAGTGAGCCAAGATCATGTCATTGTACTCCAGCCTGGGTTACAAGAGGGAAACTGCATCTCAAAAGAAAATGAGATTGAATAGATTTGTTTATAATGATTTAATGGAATTTGCTTTAGGATTAATAATATGCTGATGCAAAAGCAAAATTTGGTTTTCTCTTTTGAACAAGATTTTTTTTCAAAGATTAATAGATATATAATCTTAAATTTCTCAAGTAAAACACATAGAATTTTTTCACATATCCAACAGAATGTTATAAAAATTGTCTATGTACTTGATCACAAAGAAAGTCTTAGCAATATAGAAATGAGAGATTTTTGTAGCCACATTCAATAAAGCTAGAAATAAATAATTGAAAAGTGATCAGAATAGCCTGTTTATAAATTGAGGAGTCCTTCGTGGATGCTCTTTGGAGCAAAGAGCAATATAAACCTAATAGTAAAAAACTACATTGAAAAGAATGCTTTATATTAACATCTGTATATTACAGCCTTACATACTGTTATCACTAAAGAATGATTAAAAATAAAAGTACTAGTTGCTTTTCTACGGAACAAGTTCTATGGGAGGAACAAAATAATGCCAAAGAAAATAAAGATGGAATTAATTAATATAAACAGAACTGGGACTACGGAGAGGCAAGCATGGTACCTACGGCACATAATTTAAGAAACTAAGGTTGTGCAAGTGCCAGCCCTGGCACCCAGGCACCCCACTCCTTAGGAAGCACCCTATCTCACAGACATGTTAAGGGAGCGGCTGGCACTTGTACAGTATCGCTTCCTTGAATTTTGCGACCTATGTGCCTTGCTTCTCTCACCCTAGTTCTGGCTGACTAGAATAGGAAAAGCTTCCCTTCTGGGGAGGAAAGACCATTTTCTTCTTTCTCTTCTCCCTCCTCTTCCTGCTCCTCCTTCTTCTTTCTTCACCTTACCCTTCTCCTTCTTTCTTCTTCCCTCATTCCTTCCTCTTTTTTCTCTTCCTCCTCCTCTTTTTTAATTAATAAAACTCATAATAACCCAGATGTAATTTATACTTATTATTGTGATCTTTGAATTTTACTACTGCCTTATCCCAGCCTAGAAGACAGTGGAGCCATAAGTGGTCTTATAGAAATAACTTACTGATACCCACTAAATGTTTGATTTTAGAAACTTATTTTTTTAAAAATGCATTAGCCCTCTTACCTTGTTTTATATTCCTAAATCAATGGTCCTATTTTATGGGCCTACACATGTCATTGTATGTCATTACTGAAAAATACAAATACTAATAAGACTATCTGTACGTCTTTTTTTTTTTTTTGAGGTGGAGTTTCACTCTGGTTGCCCAGGCTGGAGTGCAATGGCACGATCTCAACTCACTGCAACCTCTGTCTCCCAGGTTGAACAAGATTTTTAAGTATTTTTAAGAGACAAAAAAAAGGTCGCCTTTTGAGTAAAAATAAATAAATGGGAAGGAGAGATTCTGTTGGTTTCATGCTATCTTTATTAGGTTTTTTGGATTGTTTGGAAAACTGAGTTTACTCTCTATTAAAGAGTAAAATGTTTTGCTTTTTGAAATCTTTGAATTATCACTTTGGCTAGATAAATGACTACTGTTTTACAGTGACCTATGATCCTCTTTGATCAAATGTTTTAAACTTTCAGTATTTAACATATTTCCTAAAATCAAATTTCAATTTCTAAAATTAAGTCTTTTCCAAAAGGAACCCCTGGAAGTCCAAGAGAGGAATATTAGGCATATTTAGAAAGTTAAAGTCATCTGGAAAGCATTGTCCAAGAAAAATGGTGTTTAACTTTGAGTTTTATTAGGATGAATGTGTTATTAATATGTGTTCCAAATTGTATGAGATTCCTAAAATTCTAATGTGTCTTGGTATATTTTAATCAGTCATAATTATGATTATTATGTTAAACTACTGTAAACTACAGGAATAACCAAATTTCCTTGTCAATTGCATCTTTAACCATGGCTATTCTAAGTCTTTTGCTGTCTAAAACAATTATTGTTTTATTTCTATTCTTTTCATAAAGCAGTTTACAATTGGCTATAATTCAAAATTTGCTTTTTCTTCAAGGAAATTCATGGAAAAGGACCCTAACAAGTACTCTAGAATATAGGTTTCTGATAACTTTGGAGATCATATCATTGAACTAAGTAACAACTTTCAAGTATGCAATAAACTGATGTGTTCCTTAGATTGCTAACTCAACATCAAGCAGAACAAGAATTAATTACAAGTGACTGAGCTGACAGAAGATTGAAATGATTTTTATGTCATTTTGTTTGAAACATTGCTGGTTTTCTTTTTATTTTGTCTTCCAGAGTCAAGAAAACTTGTTTTCCTTTGAGCTATTTATTTATACTGTATAGCAATTGGGTAAAAATACCTTTGTGAGCAAAATTGAAACATTTGCCTTTCTCTCTACCTGATTGCTCCAAAATTTGGAAACCATTCATGAGTATTCTTATTTTATGGCAATCTAGTTATTTGCATACATTTAATAAGAATCTTTTCTCTGTAACAAGATACAATTAGAGACACTGGTTATTTTACCAAGGCTTTGACTGGAATGACATATTTTCAGATATGACCAGACTGCTTTGAAGAATGAGGTCTACTTTATAGAGGCAATTAAAAAGCCCCTTGGAAAGACTGGCTTGGTCCTTTCTCTACATAATTCCCTTTCAAGATTTCTGCCCTTGTGGTAAGTAAAGAATGTTACTTTCTAACAGGTCTGGGAACCTCAAAATATTTCCACTGTGTATCTCTCATTGTTTTATTTCTTCTGAGAAAACTAAATTCATGGTACACTGAAGACTAGAGGTGATTCAGCAATTGATAGCAGTTATAAATCAATGACATTGGTAGGACTACCTGAGAATGAGCCTTCCTGGCAATGAGGGGCACCTTGACACTCATATTTTGATCATCATTGCTTTCAAAAAGAAAGATTTTTGATCAAAAAGAAGAAGTGGAAAAAAAAACTTTTATCTGAAAAATGCAAGTCCTTTCCAATTATCAGGCCCAGAGAGCTATTAAAGTGAGACAGCAATCTTGTCCTACACATACCCCCTTTTGAGCCATGTACTCATCTCTTTATACTGCTTACTATTGCCGCAAGTAGCTAAAAATTAACCTACTGGTGCTGCACCAGACATTATAACCCATACTCTATAGCTTAATGTATAGCCAATCAATAGCTTATGTTATGTTAATGTAAATTATTGGTAAAGAACTTGGAAACTGCCTCTTCTTTCCCTTTAAAAATCCACTTGTAGCTGGGTGTGGTAGCTCGTGCCTATAATTCCAGCACTTTGGAAGGCTGAGATGGACAGATCATCTGAGATCAGGAGTTCAAGACCAGCCTGGCCTGATGTGGTGAAACCTCATCTCTACTAAAAATACAAAAATTAGCTTACTGTGGTGGTGGGTGCCTGTAATCCTGGCCACTCAGGAGGCTGAGGCAGGAGAATTGCTTGAACCCAGGAGGTAGAGGTTGCAGTGAGCCAAGATCATGCCATTGCACTCCAGCTTGGGCAATAAGAGTGAAACTACATCTCACAAAAAAAAAAAATCCACTTGTGACTGATGCTACTCAAAATGTATATTCAAGGCAACTAGAATCTATGTTCCTGAGCTGCAATCCTCAAGCTTGTCCCAAATAAACTCTACTTATATTAATTTTGCCTCAGCTTCTTCCTTTTAGATTAACAATGTTAAAATAAAATAGAAGACAAAAGAAATTTCAAAATCTGCAGGAGGCTGCTAGTAGTAAGGCCCTCAGAGCTCCTTGGTACATCTTAACTCTCCTTTGTCTACAGGACACGATTTTAGGGGTGATGGGGTTTGTTGTAACATACACAGGAAAAGCCTGGAAATCATAGTCTCCCTAGTTCCCTTGCAATTCAAAGATTGAGACATATTGAACCCTATGGAAAACTGGACATGGATCATCATTTTTTAAGCATAACAGCAGCTATGGTGACACAGCAGCTCTAGTTACCCAGTTGTCTTTTCATCCCCCAGAAGCTATCATCTTTTACTCTCTGTATTAGTCTATTCTCACACTGCTGTAAAGAGCTACCTGAGATTGGGTACGTTATGAAGAAAAGAGGTTTAATTGACTCAAAGTTCCATATGCCTGGGGAGGCCTCAGAAAACTTACTGTCATGGCAGAAGGCAAAGGAGAAGCAAGCACCTTTTTCACAAGGCAGTAGGAGAGAGAGAGATGCAGTGAGGGAAGTCCCAAACACTTAAACCATCAGATCTCTTGAGAACTTAGTATCATGAGAACAGCATGGGGAAAATCTGTCCCCATGATCCATTTACCTCCCATGAGGTCCCTTCCCTGACACATGGGGATTATAATTCAAGATAATATTTGAGTGGGGACACAGGGCCAAACCATATCATCTGCCCTTGTCCCCTCCCAATTTCATGTCCATTTCAAATTGCAAAATACAATTATCTCTCCTTAACAGTACCCCAAAGTCTTAACTCATTCCAACATTAACTCAAAAGTTCACAGTCCAAAGTCTCTTCTGAGACAAGGTAAGTCCCTTCTGCCTAGGAATCTGTAAAATCAAAAACAAGTTAGTTACTTTTAAGATACAATAGGAGTGTAGGTATTTGGTAAATTCTCCCATTCCAAATGGAGAAACTGGCCAAAACAGAGGGGCTATAGGCCCCATTGCCAGTTTGAAACTCAGCAGGGCCGTCATTAAATCTTAAAGTTCCAAAATAATCTCCTTTGACTCCATGTCTCACATCCAGAGCATGCTGATGCAAGGGGTAAGCTCCCAAGGCCTTGGGCAACTCTGCCCCTGTGGTTCTGCAGGGCATAGCTCTGTGGCTGCTTTCATGGGCTGGCCGTGAGTTCCTGTAGCTTTTCCAGGTGCATGGTGCAGTCTGTCAGTGGATCTACCATTCTGGGGCCTGGAGAATGACTGCCTTCTTATTACAGGTCCACTAGGCAGTGCCCCATTGGAGACTCCATGTGGGAACTTCCACCTCACATTTCCCCTCTACAGTGCCTTAGTAGAGGTTCTTCGTGAGGGCTCCACCCCTGCAGCAGACTTCTGCCTGGATATCCAGGTGTTTCCATACATCCTCTGAAATCTAGGTGAAGGGTTCCCAAACTTTAACTCTTGCTTTCTGCACACCTGCAGGCCCAACACCACACAGAAGCCACCAAGGCATGGGGCTTGCACTCTCTAAAGTAACAAGCTGTACCTTGGCCCCTTTTAGACATGACTGGAGCTAGAGGTACCTGGGATGCAGGGTGCCATGTCCCAAGGCTGCACAGAGCAGTGGGGCCCTGTCCCAGCCCATGAAACCATTTTTCCCTCCTAGGTCTCTGATGCTGTGATGGGAGGGGCTGCCATGAAGATCTCTGAAATGCCCTGGAGACATTTTTTGCATTGTCTTGGCGATTAACGTTTGGCTCCTCTTTACTTATCCAATTCTTGCAGCTAGCAGCTTGAATTTCTCCCCAGGAGATGAGGTGTTTTTTCACTCCCCACCACATGGGCAGGCTGTAAATTTTCCAAACTTTTATGCTCTGCTTTTCTTTTAAACATAAGTTCCAATTTCAGATTATCTCTTTGTGAGCGGCATATGACTATACATTTTCGGGAACAGCCAGGTCACATCTTCAGTGCTTTGCTGGTTAGAAATTTCTTCTGCTAGATACTCTAATCTTTCTCAGGTTCATAGTTCCACAGATCTCTAGGGCAGGGGCAAAATGCTGCCAGTCTTTTTGCTAAAGCATAGCAAGAGTGACTTTTGCTCCAGTTCCCAGTAAGTTCCTCATCTTCATCTGAGACTACCTCAGCCTGGACTTCATTGTCCATATCACTATGAGCATTTTGGTCAAAACCATTCAACAAGTCTCTAAGAAGTTCCAAATTTTCCCACATCTTCCTGTAGTCTTCTGAGACCTCCAAACTATTCCAGCCTTTGCCCATAAGCCAGTTCCAAAGTCACTTCCACATTTTCAGGTATCTTTATAGCAGTGCCCCACTCCTGGTACCAATTTTCTGTATTATTCCATTCTCACAATGCTGTAAAGAACTACCTGAGACTGAGTAATGTATAATTCATAAAAGAGGCTTAATTCACTCTCAGTCAATTAAGACTAAAAGAGGCTTAACTGACTCACAGTTGCACATGGCTGGGGAGGCCTCAGGAAACTTAACAATCATGGTGGAAGGTGAAGGAGAAGCAAGCACCTTCTTCACAAGGTGGCATGAGAGAAGAGCAAGTGGGGGGATATGCCACACTTTTAAACCATCAGCTCTCGTGAGAACTCACTCATTATCACGAGAACAACATAGGAGAAATCCACCCTCATGATCCAGTTACCTGTCACCAGGTTTTTTTCCCTGACAGGTGGAGATGGTAATTTGAGATGAGATTTGGGTGGGGACACAGAGCCAAACCCTATCACTCTTCAATGCCTTTCCAGTATGCGACCCCATGTTAAATACTTCCCTGAGAGAGAGAATAACTCATTGTATTTGGGCTGTCACTGTCCACTCTCTTTTTCTTGCAACAAATATTTATGAAAAGGCTGTGATGTGCCAGGGGTAAGCGGACAGGCCATACAAGGGCCATACTTCACAGAGCTAATATTCTACTTCACAGAGCTAATATTCTGGTGGGGCAAAAAATAATAAATATAATAAATAAGTCAACTAGATAATTTTGGTCTGTGCTATGTAGAGACTAAACCATGGTAATTTTTAGATTGGATGGTTAAAAAAAAAAGCTTCACTAAGAAGATAATACTTAAACTAGTACAATGATGAGAAGCCAGCCACACAAAGCCTAAATAAAAAGAATTCCAGGCAGAGACTGGGACCTTGACTGAAACAATTTCTTATCCCAGGAAATATAGCTAATCAGTGACAAACCCAGAATATCGTTGCTTCGAAAGCCCATCCTGTTTGATTGCTTCACATTTCTTCCCAAATAAGTTGCTATATGGGAGCTAACTTATTAAACTCAAAATACTGTTCAAATATAAGATATTCTCAAATAATAATATTATTAAAGGCTGCCAAAGTTAACAAAGCAAAACAAACACAGCAGAGTTTATTTTCAGCAAAGGAACACACCAGTTGGCTGAGGGCAAAAAGCATGTGTTTTTAATTGTTAAGAAGGGGTTTAATGGTAGCTATGCTAATTAAGGCTGACTGAGTCTGTTCATGCTTCTATAACAAAGTAACTGAGACTGGGTGACATATAAAGAATAGAAATTGATTTCTCACCGTTCTGGAGGTTGGAAGTCCTTACTCAAGGCACCCACAGGTTCAGTGTTTGGTGAGGGCCCTGTCTTCCTGCTTCCAAGATGATGCTTTGTTGCTGCATCCTCCAGAGGGGATGAATGGCTGTATCCTCACATGGTGGAAAGAATGGGAAGGCAAAAAGAGGGCCTCGCTAGCTCCCTCCAGCCCTTTTATATGGTTACTAATCCCATTCATGAGGACAGAGCATCATACCGTAACCACCTCCTAAAGGCCCCACCTTTAGGAATTTTTCAAGATGAATTTTGGAGGGGACACAAACATTCAAACCATAGCTAAGGATGAAAAACAAACATTCCAAATAGGCCAGAGGAAATCCATAGCTCCCTACATGATTGGTTAAAACAAAACCCCTATTTCATTGGAAAAAAAAGTCTTCAGATAGGTCCTATAAGGGTTTTGTTTCAGCTTACCAGGATCACTCAAAATTCATGTTTTCTTTAACAGTTAAAGGACTGTTCTTTAGCTCTTAAAGGACAGTTGAAGCACAACACAGTATTCAATGCACTATCTCCTAGGCAAGCTCTGCTGGAAATAAAAACATTTTCTTTTATGATATTATTATGCAACAGATGAAGAAACTAAGAATCCAAATATGTTAGCTGTCATGCCTAAGGTCATTTACATAACCAGGCTGTTTCCAGATCCCAATCTAGAACCCAGGTCCCCAATTCTCAATCACTTTCCAAATGTACTTTTTTATTTTGTTTGGTTTTTAGAGACAGAGTCTCACTCTATTGCCAAGGCTGGAGTACAATAGTGGCATAATCATAACCCACTGCAACCTTGAACTCCTAGGCTCAGGTGATCCTACCTCTTCAGCCTCCTGAGTAGCTAGGACTACAGGTGTGGGCCACTTCCTCCAGCTAATTTCTTTATTTTTTGTAGAGTCAGGGTCTTCCTATGTTTCCCAGGCTGGTCTCAAACTCCTGGCCTCAAGAGATCCTCCTGCCTCACCCTTCCAAAGTGGTAAGATGACTGTCATGAGCCATTGTGCATGGTCCTCCTAATGTACTTAGTGGGACATTTTTAGGCCTACACCTATACTATACACATACAGCACATAATAGGCACTCAATAAATATTTTTTGAGTTGAATCTCCTAGTTCCTCCTAAATTTCTGCTCACTAATGTATTATTATGTTTAAATAAATAAAAGGAGTTTGCTTAGGGATCACCTATAAATCAGCAGATTAGAAAGAATTACAGGCACGGGGCTGTTGGTCAGTTTTTTTTGGTCCGTAAATGTAGAAAATCACCATAGGGATATAAGAGTGAACTTTCCTCAAAATAATTCATATCAAACCAATCTCATATGAAGAACTTATATGCATTATCTCAATTAATCCTTATAACAGCCCCACAAATAAACTGAGACTCTTGGAGGTTGAGATTCACCAAACTCATGTGTCTTCTGTATCATACAATTCTCAGGTGCATGCATCACCCCAGGATTCAGAAGTCCAGCATCACCCCAGGATTCAGAAGTCCAGGAGATGGAATCTCTGATACATTTCTAAAACAAATGGTTCTAACTCAAGCTTACGTCTGCTCTCTCATGGTTCCGGTATTAACTCAATACAATTTTGTCACTGTTGTTCGAGATTATTTCTTTAAGCATAACATTGCCAAAAGGAACAAATGGAAAGCAAACAATACCAGTGTTCTGTTTGTTGAGTAAGGGAATATCCCTTATATTTTCCTGGAGAAAGTAATTTCAGTTCTGCGCCAATAGGCCCTTTGCCTAAGACACAGGTGAACATCGAGGTTGGCTTCAGGTATGAAGCTAAGGTCTGTCTTCTCCCAGGAGGTGGCAGCAGCAGCAGCTGCAGCCTCCGCCTGCTGCAGAAATCAGACAGAATTCACCCGTTTTCCTACTGGCATCCAAACCTAGAAATTCCTGGTTCCAAAGACCACTTTATCCCTTCCTTGGTTTGTTGAGCTTAGTTGGAGCTGGGGCATTGGGAGTTCAAGAGCTGGCAATAATTCCTCTTTATAAGTGCTTAGTTTTTTTTGTAAACACTTTGGTCTGGGCTGCGACCTTGAAGCATGTATGAAGGAGGTTCAGGAAGTCTCTGGCCAGGGAAAAAGAGCTTCAGAAAGAAACTGTAGCTGAAACACATCCACACAAGCATAAATCCAGAGACCCCAGTGCACAGTTTGGTACCGCAAAAATGATACAGATTGTAGACCTGGCCTCTCAGCTACCAGCCAGCTGACCTTCTCATTGAACCTATCAGAACCGTAATTGAAAAATCCCCATCCACCCAGTGTGGACTAGGTGATCTTGAAGCACCTGCTCATTCTTAAATTATAAGCTACTGGACTTGTATTTTCTGGACTAACGGCTGGGCCTTCACCCTTTCAGAATTTCAAAAAATCTCAGACACAACAAAGCACTACTGGTTCCAAGTTAATCCCGGATGAGCACATATCCTGGTTTGGCAAACACTGCCAGCTGCATAGAAGGCGGGCAGGCGTCCCAGGAAATGTCTGAACACCACTCAGCTATGGATGAACTGTCAACTGCTGGGGGTTGCTTTGCAAATTACCACATCTAAACGAAGCTGACAAAATGATATTTCGGAAAAGCAATTAACACTGATGCCTAGTGTGTTTGGAAGCAAAAGGCCTTTTGGGAAGAATGAAATTGGCTCAGAGAAGAGTACCCCAGCCCTCCAGGTAGAAATGTTAAGTCAGGATATCCCACACACTCCCATCACCACCAGTCAGATAGTCAGCCTGGTCTTTGTGAACGAGATGGAACTAGTTCCTTTCACTTTCCCCCTGCTTCCACTTGGATGGGTTAAGCTTTCATCTATTTATTCAGTGAACATTTATTGGGCACCTCCCATGGGTCAGTGGCTGGGTGTACACCTGTTTATTGAGGAGTTCACAATGGAGTAGTCAGATGCTAAATGAATTAATATACATGGAGCATTCAGAAAGGGTTGGAATGTAAAATATAATAGAGGTGATAGAAATAGTTACTATCTCCATAAAGCCACAGGCCAAACACCATACTTCATAATGAAAACTATCCCTACAATATAGCGCAATCATCTAGAAAGAATCCCATACTCCTGTAAGTATTGGCCCCTGTGGAATTGTCAATTGAACTTTGCCTATTTTACACGAAAGCTGTCATATTAGAATCCCTTCCTAGATTGGGAGTTTTGACTCCAGAAGGCCACGCTAAATAGAAATATTGTACATGTTGCCTGGCATCAAAGGATGGGGCTGGTGGGACAGCTTCTGTCTCTCCCTCTTCCCCTTGAAAATACCAGCACAAGTGATGGGCAGGTTAAATAAATTTCAATGTAACTGCAACAGAGAGAACTGAGGAATGACAGAGGTAGGAGAGTCTGGTGATAGATAGCTTCATTCCTGAAAAGAACCATATTCTGTTTGGAGAGCAGATCAGAGGGCAAGAAAACATAGGGCTGTCCTGTGTGACACGGAATGAGCTGAGCCATAGACCATAACAAACAAGCAGAAAAGAAGCAAATCATATCTCCTAATTTCCTGGGCTGACTTCAGAGTAGTCTGAAAAGGACAATTGAACTTTCCCTTAAAAGAGACACTAGATGCCCTCATAATGTTGAAATCAAGTCCAATATTTCGCAAATGTAATTTTTTAATAGAGACCCTCCTTATGTTGATTTTTTTTTCTTCCTGTAGAGTTCCAAATAAACCTCAAGAGGATCTCTTTCTTCCCACAACTCCACGGGCAATTCACAGCTATGCCAGTTACTACATGTATAGCACAAAGGTTGAGAATCTCTGGCCTTTGGCTGAATTTTATCCAACTGAATATTCAGTCACTGATGTCATAGCCCAACAAATAATTCACATTATAATGGGATCCTCTAGTGAATATATTTAGAGGGAAGCCTCTGAGCAGCAGTTCTCTCCCTTGGCTTCACATGGGGAACTTTTAAAAATCCTCGACTCACATCCCAAACCGATTACATATTCAGAGCGGGGCCTAAGCATCAACTTTTCTTTTTTTTTTTTTTTTTTTTTTTTTTTTTTTTTGCCTTAGGTGACTGAGGAGCTGAACTTTTTATTTAACTTTAGTTTTTTTTTTTTTTTTTAGGGAAAAAGAGAAAAAGAAGGGGAAAAAAGAAAAAGAGGGAAAAAGGAATATTACTTCATTCCTAAAATGGGTTTCAATAATGGCCGATCAATATTTTGAGTGTTTAAAGTGGTTAATGCATATTTTATGTGTTTAAAATGGAGACCTCTATTGTGTTTATTTGTTCTGGCTCTGAGTTCAAATCCTGGATATCGTTATCAATTTGTTGTCTCGTTGAATCTAAATCTCACTATGTGTCTTATGTATCTGGGTGTTAAGATCTCTTATTGTTACATTAATCCTTTTACCCTTGTATCCTTATAGCTTTGAAATCTATTTTGTCAAATGTGAAAATTGCAACTCCTGCTTTTTATTTATTTATTTTTGCTCTCCATTTGGTTGGTACGTTTTTTTTTTCCAACCCTTTATTTTGAGTCTATGTATATCTTTGGATATACCGTTGGATTTTGTCTGTATCTTTTGATTGGGAGATTTGGTTGATTTAACTTTAGGGTTACTGCCATTTGATATTAACTGGCTATTTTGTCCTTTTGTTGATAAAAATTCTTCTTTATGTTAATGCTCTTTACTTTTTGGTGTATTTTTAGAAAGGATCATACTGGTTGTTCCTTTCTGTGTATAATGCTTCTTTTAGAAGTTCTTGTAAAGCAGGCCTGGTGGTAATAAAATCTCTGAGTACTTGCTTGTTCCTAAAAGATTTTATTTTTCCTTCAAATGTAAAGCTTAAATTGGCAGGATATGAAATTCTGGGCTGAAAGTTTTGTTCTTTAAGTATATTGAATATTGGCCCCCACTCTCTTCTAGCTTGTAGGGTTTCCGTTGAGAGATCCGCTGTAAGCCTAATAGGCTTACCTTTATGGGTAACTTGATCTTTCTCTCTGGCTGCCCTTAATATTTTCTCCTTCGTTTCGATCTTGGTGAATCTAACGATTATGTGCCTTGGGGTTGGTCTTCTTGAGGAATATCTTTGTGGTGTTCTCTGTATTGCCTGGGGTTGAATAGTGTCCTGCTTTGCTAAATTAGGAAAATTTTCCTGGATAATGTCCTGGAGAGTATTTTCCAGCTTGACTTCATTCTCTCCGTCACATTCAGGTACACCAATCAAGCGTATATTAGGTCTTTTCACATAGTCCCATATTGCTTGGAGACTTTGCTCATTCCTTTTTATCCTTTTTTCTCTATTCTTGTCTTGTCGTTTTGTTTCATTAAGTTGGTCTTCGACCTCTAATACCCTTTCTTCTGCTTGATCCATTCGGCTGTTTAAGCTTGTACATATTTCACTAAGTTCTCGTGTTGTGTTTTTCAACTCCATAAGTTCATTTGTATTCCTCTCTATATTGTCTATTCTTTTCAACATTTCATCGAACCTTTTTTCCAAGTTCTTAGTTTCTTTACATTGGGTTAGAACAAGTTCCTTTAACTCCCAGAAGTTTCTTATCATCCACCTTTTAAAGCCTACTTCAGATAATGGAACACAGTCCTTTTCCATCAGGGCTTGTTCTGTTACTGATGAGTCCTTTTCCATCAGGGCTTGTTCGGTTGCTGATGAGTCCTTTTCCATCAGGGCTTGTTCCGTTGCTGATGGGTTCTGATTTTGAGTATACTCGGCCTTCTTAGGCTGTTTTTTTCCCTTCATTATAGATGAACCGCCTTTCTAATTAGTTTTCTGAGTCGACATCCGACTTACTGATTCCCAGTGCTGGGATCCGAGCAACCCACTGTGGCGGCCTAAATAGCAGCGGTAAGACTGATGGTGCTCTTCTGCCCGGGAATCTCTGGTCTGGCTTCCCTCTTGAGTCCGCAACAAGCGGCTCTGACTTCCCCGAGCTCCAAACTCCGGTCAGTAGGGGAAGCAGTCCCGTTGGCTCTGCATGAAGAGCTGCTGCGCCGAGACGCCGGCAAAACCGCTGCGGCGGCCACAAGAGTCGCGCTGGCGACCCGTGGGGCTCCTCCACTGGGAATCGGCTAATCGGTGAGTGACGAAAATTCGTCTAAAGATGTGGCGTCGTCTCGTTCTCTGAGCTTTCACTGGGAGCTACATTCCTGAGCTGTTAGTGGTCGGCCATCTTTGATTGTTTTTCCAACTTTTCTTTTATATACCATAGGTATCAACATTTTTGTACATTCCTCAAAAGATGTCTACGTACAGCCAAGGTTGAGACTTTCCAACGTTAAGTCTTAGGATAAGGAGAGGCAGGAAGCTGCTAGTAACTGACAGCTGAGCTCACCTCCTCCCTTTGGAATTCCTCCTGAAAAGCCAGCATGAAGAAACCAAATACTGCAATGGTAGCCAGCCTAAATATCCACTTTGTAAGACTTCCATTTCTGCTTTCTCATTGTATCTACCAGGTCTGCAATTAAAAGGATTTGAGTACCTACGGAGTTATGAACGGTGGCTAATCAGTATTTTCAAAGAGATAGCAGGTAACAGGTGATGGTGGTATGAATGCCACGATCTAGAGATTCTACATTAATCTCTTTTTTTTTTTGAGACAGGGTCTCACTGTGTCACCTCAGGCTGGAGTGCAATGGTGCAATCTTGACTCACCACAACCTCTGCCTCCCAAGTTCAAGCCATTCTCCTGCCTTAGCCTCCTGAGTAGCTGGGATTACAGGTGCGTCCCACCACACCTGGCTACCTTTTTATTTTATTTACTTATTTATTTATTTTTTCAGAAGAGAAGGTGTTTCCCCATGTTGGCCAGTCTGGTCTTGAACTCCTGGCCTCAAGTGATCCACCCATCTCAGCCTTCCAAAGTGCCAGGATTACAGGCATGAGTCACCACCCCCAGTGCCACATTCATCTTAAAAACAAACATAAATGCTTTTTTGTTCCACCCTCCAACCTACTCAGTCTCTTCTCTCGCCCCATTCTTGACCCATTTTTCTCTTCTGCTTCCTCTCTCTTCCTGCCTGCCATCTCCTTCACCTGCTCTCCAACCCTGTCACTGTCATGCTTACTGCACTTATTTCTTGTCTTTCTTAGCCTCTGCACCTCACTATTCCTTCTGCCATCTGTCTTATTTTCCTTTAGTCTCTATTCTCTCCTCCTTACCCACGATTACACACCTCTCTTCTTAGTTTCATCATCTTTCCCATCTTTCCAATAATACAAAGCAAAAGCATTGTCAGATAGTTACAATTCTTAAACCTTTTCCTGTTTGCCCCAAGAATATTCACTAGCAGCACTTGTGGCTGCAGTGTTTAACCCGAGAAAACTTTGCCACAAAATATCTCTCTTTTACTATTATTTTTGCATAGCTCTAGTACATTGACTTTGTAAACAAAAGACATCATTCTGTTTATAGCATTCTATTTTAGAGGTGGTATTTCCATTTAAAAAATACAGTAATTCTTGATTGCTAAAAATGTCAAATCCTGGAAAACACAGCCTTCCTATGTGTGATGTTAACGTCATTAACGAACAGTTGGCCGAAGATTAATTTGATGAATGTGATTTCTCTGAAATAGACAATTCTGATGATTCAGATGATTCTGGTGTTAGTTCTGTTAAGAATTAACTCTAAGAGCAGTTTCTATATTTTATTTGCACATTGAAAATCAGTCAGATTTGCTTCAGTCTCAAATAGCCTGTTTATGTAAAATTAAATGAGTACTGGCAGTGAGCTATACTTTTTTAAAATGGGAAAATGGTTAAATAAGATATTCTATCAGTTTTAAAAGCAGATAATTACTCGAAATATTATATTTGTCTCTCCAACGAGAAAAAACACTGGCTCCAAGTTAGTGCTCCTTAAATACTAACTCTAATTATTTTTCGTATAACTCCCTGTATTGGCCCGATTACTTTTTTCATGTAGTTCATTGACCTTCAATAGAAAAATGGTCCTCTGTTCTTCAATCTTGACAACAGCAGCTGACATCAATGAAAAAGAGAAACAAGCTAAAAACAGTAGTTGAGTGTATACACCCTGAATTGAATATTCAGTTGCAAAATCATCATCATTATTATTGTAATTACAGAGAGGAGGAATTGCAATAACTGTTCAAGTGTCTTCTTGAAGAAATAGCTAAAACAGGGCCAGCTGTCACAAACTACCCTACAATAATGATTCCCGTGTGTGCTGCTTCAGTATTCATAGTGACTCTATAATAACAAATTTGTGTACTCATCTAATGTTGTTTTCAAAATTTTTTATTTTATAAACAATAGAACAGGGTCTCACTGTTGTTGCCCAGGCTGGTCTCAAACTCCTGGCCTATTAAGTGCTCCTCCTATCTTGGCCTCCCAAAGTGCTACTCTGCTGCCCTTACATAACTTAAAAAATAACAAACGTGGCCAGGCCTGGTCGCTCATGCCTGTAATCCCAGCACTTTGGGAGGCAGAGACAGGTGTTTCACCTGAGGTCAGGAGTTTGAGAACAGCCTGACCAACAAGGTGAAACCCCATCTTTACTAAAAATACAAAAATTAGCTGAGTGTGGTGGCATGCGGTGTAATCCCAGCCACTCAGGAGACTGAGGCAGGAGAATTGCTTGAATCCAGGAGGCGGAGGTTGCAGTGAGCCGAGATCGTGCCACTGCACTCCAGTCTGGGTGACGGAGTGAGACTCTGTCTCAAAAATAAATAAATAAATAAATAAATAAATAAAAGTAAATAACAAACCTATGATTGGATAAAGTATTTCACGAGATAGTTGACCCGCATTTCTAAATGGTGTCCATGAACAACCTTAGAATCATAAACTACCAAACAAAAATTGCACCGTAAGAATGAACTAGAGTGGGTGGTCCAGCATTCACCTACAACATGAGGGCAACAAATCCAGGTACAAGAATAGGATGGAAGTCAGGCAAATAGGCCAGCAGACAACTAAAATACTTAGGAGAAACATCTACAAAGACAGGCGTGTTTTATTGACTTGAGAATTGTAAACAA